GAATCACTCGCGAACGACACATCACGAATCTTTCGTATGACTCGTGTCTCCCGAGTTATGTGAAATATCTGTTCATATTGAACTCACGAATTACTCACAAATCACTCTCTGTGAACTAATCTTTCACTGTAAACTAATCTTTCACTACGAACGAATTACTCCAATGTCCCCGGAGAAGACGATGCTTATGTTGAGGTGGAGGAAAAGTGTTTTCAGTGGAGGCTTGTGAAAGCGGTCGTCCATGTAAGGCTCGTAAACGCGTCTGTGGCATTTGTGAGTCCTTTCTTTATTCTGCGGATGGGATGATGGCAAGATGCGTCGGCTCATACACTGGAGAGAGAGAGCAGATGTAAACTATTGAACGCAGGTAGATACATCACTCCTTATCAGCTACCACTATCTTCAGATATGAAATTAAATTGTACATTTTCAATATGTGTATAAATAAGAACACCAAATTTTGTTCAATCAAGTCGTATCTTGGAGGCGAATCGAACACTAGAAATGACGTGAATGTAAAGAACAGATTTTTATCACATCATTTTAAAAACCCGTCTTAGTACCGTCTGTTTATGACATTTAAATTACAGCCTTCACCGTCAAATCAATGCAGCACTTTAGAACAGGGGTGTTCCGAGCCTATTTGGCTCCCAGGGCAAGCCCCCCCCCCCCCGAAGAAATTTTCGTTCATTTGAATTTTAATTTATTTGTATCTGACACTATAACAGTCACGGTGGCCAAAGTAGGAAAAGAGGATGAAAAGGAATGAATGAACTACAATGTCTGTACTGTCATGAAGAAGATCTACAGAATATCAATACAAAAACGTGATGAAATTAAATACATATACATATTATATATAAATATATTTTAAAGACTAATTTGGACAGTTTAATAAAAGACAAAATAATATTTAAAAAAACTTTGGTTAGTTAGATTATAGGTGATGTGATTATGTTTCTGTTTTTGTTGGATGTATATTTGAAACATATACAGCTCAGGTGGTGCCCTTCAGATTGATTGCTGAGACATTAAATAGTTCTTGCTTTGGCTTTGGGTTTCACCTGTGAAAAGCAGTATTTGCTGTTAAGCAAACATGAAGACCAGAGAGCTGTCAATGGGAGAAAAGCAAATTATTGTGAAGCTGAGAAAAGAGGGAAAATCGATCAGAGCTATTGCACAAACATTGGGCATAGCCAGTTCAACAATTTGGAATGTCTTGAAGAAAGAAACTACTGGTGTACTGAGCAACAGACATCGAACAGGTCGGCCACGGGTAACAACAGCAGTTGTTGACAGAAACATTGTGCGACCTGTGAAGAAACAACCAAAGACAACAGTCACTGTCGTCACTGCCAACCTCCACAGGGCAGGGCTGAAGGTATCACAATCCACTGTTCGAAGAAGACTTAGAGAGAAGAATTATAGAGGCCATACCACAAGGTGCAAACCACTCATCAGCAAAAAGAATCAGAAGGCCAGATTGGATTTTGCAAAGAAGTACAGAGATCAGCCACAAACATTTTGGAACAAAGTTTTATGGACTGATGAAACCAAGATTAACCTCTACCAAAGTGATGGAAAGGCCA